GTAGGAAATGAGGGTGAGCACGAGGGTATAAAAGTCAGTGTTTTGACATGTCTCATCACAGACTAAGGATATTTGTGTGTGGAAGCGCAGAAGACTTGAAATAGTTCATGGATGTTGTTTTTAAACTCCAAATGTTGCCATTTTGAATTGCTAAGAGCTAGCAAGCTGGATCCTCTTTTCCTTAAGGCTGTCTCAATTTGAATGAAAAGTGAGGTGTAGAATGTGCTTTGAAGCTTCTTATTATAGTTCTTATTCTTATTTCTGTGCATGTGTTCCTAAGAGCGAAATCATCCATGTTTATTCTTTCAAGGTGTTTTTTGCCCTAGTCCTTAAGCTTTTTTAAAAATCATTAACTAAATGGGAAGGCTGCAATCCGCTGCCTCCCACTGGAGGTCTGCTCCATATAATCTCACAACAGCAAGGTGATGGCAGGTTGTTGCTTCGTGGGATTGGAGCTTTCTTTGTGTTGGGCAAGGGATGGGGGAGAGACGAAACAGGTTTGGAGAGCAGCCCTCACCACCAGTTATTTGGCAAATGCAGTTTGTGCCCTGTGTGGAACATGGGTGAGAGGAGCACCCAGCTCATGTTCTGCTTGGTGCTGCTTGTCCCTGCAATCCTAAGTACACCTGGGGCCGCTCGGTTTTGAGGGCAGCTTCCACAGCTCTTGTGCTTTCTCTCAAATCTCTCTTTCCTGTAAGCAGAACATTGCTGGAGTTATTTGTTCCTTGTATTTCTTTGCAATTTGCAATTGCACAAATTATTGTAATTTTCTTGAAAATGGTATGATTGTTTTGTACATTAGAAAGTTGACATGTAGGATAGTGATTCAAGGTGCAAAAGCAGAGAGCTGGCTTCTGACCTGGTGTGGGGAAAGCAAGGAACTGGAGTCCGAGGAGATGGACAGAACAATGTAAGGAAAGGGGAGAGATTAAAAGATGTGACAGACATGGAAAACATGTGCTATGATCTAATGGGCTGCTGGGTGATGGAGCCAAGAAAGGAAGGAAAAGAAGCATTTGGAGATTATTTTCAGCACTGTTCTTAATTAAAAAGGCAGTGAGTGTCTCCTATGCATTGTATGAAACACCAGTATAAGTTTGGGATTGCTTGACAAAGTATTTCAAAAACTACACTGATATTTCATACAGAAAAAGGGCATACATCACAGCAGTGCTGTCTGCTGTCAGCCTTGAAGAATACATATTTCAGAGAGTGCTCTTGAAACCTTGGAAGTGATAGCTGTTTCCTTCATGACTTCAGTTAAATAAAGCACCTTTCCTCAGTATGCTGACTAAAAATCTTATTTTTCACTGTTGCAACTACCTCTACTAGTCTGGCTATGACCGGGCCTCTGGCAGAAGTGTATGGCAAATTGCAGAGTTCCTCTGGGCTATGGTAGGTTTTGAGCTTACAGCAACTCGCTCTGCTTTGCCCCAGTAGCCTAAATGGAAGTGCTGATTTGAGGAATTCTAACACCTCTGACAAGATCAGAGTAGTCTGCAGGGAAATGCAGGGAATGTTTTCTTTATCCTTGCCTTTCTTTTCTCTTCTTTTTCCTTAAACAACCAATTCCTTGATTGTTTATCTCCCTGGAGATGGATGTGAGGGGTTTTTGTTTATTGTACTGAGGATAAAGCAGGAATCACTTGCGATCTCTCTCCCTTTTGAGACCCTGTTAATATATTGCAAGTGCTACTTGACCTTTCTGCCTTATACTCAGTGTTGCATGTGTCCTTCTGTGCTTCAGCTCTTGGAAGAGGAGCTTCTCCAAGGCTGTCTGGAGAGAATATCTATTATTTTTTTCCAGGGGAGAGCCTAATTGCAGTCCTAGGTACTGCAGCTTATGCAGTTGCTACCTGCTCTTGGGGACTGAGTCCCTGGGGTCAGCACATCTCCTGCAGAAGAGGCAACTCTTCCCATAAAAACTGCTTCCCAACCATGATGTTTGTCAAGAGTTTGGCTTTTTCCCTCCCTGCGTAGAGCAGGAGAGATGATGGGCACTTCAGGGCTGTGGTTGCCTTGGTCCAAGACAGTCTTGCATGATGAGTTAGCCTGCGGTGGCATGTTAAATGCAGCTGTGGTGTGACTTTGTGCTCTGTACGGTTAGACTTGATGATCATTGTCTGCCACTGTTTGCTGAGGCCCCCTGGAAGAAAGCATGTAGTATGAGGTTAGTACCTTGGTGGGAAGCTCTCCCCAAGTAAGCTGCTAGAAGCTTAAGCAAAATGGAGATCTGTGTTCCTGTTGGTTTTCAATCAGTTCAAGCTTAACTCTCTTTTGGATGCTGTCTTCTGGCTGTCTGCTTGGAGATGCTGCTGCTGATAGGGTTTCCTGTGTTGTATCTTGAGTAAGAAGTGCAAAGCAGGGCACCCAGAAAGGAGAAGCTACAGATGAGGAATCTAGAGAGACTTTTGATGACTGTCTTAGATAACATGTGTCTGCAAGCTTAAACTTCAAGTGGTCAAAGGATGAGGAGGGTGAAGCTTCCTGAAGTCTGAGGCGATCGAATTTGGTGCTGCTGAAAGGGACTGACTTAGTCCTGTTGTTTCCATGGTTGTGTGAGCGGTTGATGAGCCAGTTCTGCCAACAATAGGCTATAACAACACCCGACCCAGAGTCAGCAGAAGCAAAAAGTTCCTGCAGATGAACTTAATTACCTCAGCGTGCAGCCAGACAAACCTGTGTGCAAACAGGTGGTAGGAGTGGGTATCGAATCTATGATTGCAGTTAAAGACATGTTGAGGAGCATCCAGCTTAGAAGCAGCAGGCTCTCAAGTTGGTCTGAAGGTCCATGTGTTGTTCAATGCTGAAATGCTGTAGAAAAAGTAAAGCTGGAACAGTTGGTTATCTCCTGGGTTCCTGCACAGCTTGTTGCCAACACCCCATGTGCCAGTGTTTTTCTTCATAGCAATCTTGGCTTTCTCTCCTAAAAGAACAGATAAAAAAGTATTTGTAGAGCTGTAGACACTTAACACACTCTTATCTTGACTTGGAACATGAGCTCAGTGAAGTGGATTCTTCAGCAGTGGTCAGCTGTTCATTGCTTGCTGTCCCTAATGCATTCACTATCCCTAGTGAATATGTAGGAAAACAGTCTTTGAAATACTTGCAGTCTATTATGGGAATGTAAACATTGACTTTCAAGTAGAATTCATGTTACTGAAGGCTTAACTATTTGAATCTAAATGGAAGTTGTATGATGAACTCTTCAATTTAATTTTTCAAATTTAATGTGTTTTTTAAATGATGAAATTTGTTTTTTTCTTTTTTGTAAGCTGTTCTGTTATATATATGACTGAGATCTTTATTTTACTATAGCACTATTTCTGTTAAAAGTCTATCTCCTTCCAGGAAGTAACAGTTTAATTTTTAATCAAAACACAAATTAAAAGGCTGACTTCTATAAACTTATTATGGAAAACTTTGTTTTAACAAATAGCAACTATGTTCAAAGACCTACTTTGGCTTCAGCTGTTCTTCTGCCCTGAAGTTGTCTGCCAGCACCAGTTGGCAGCCCTGCAAGCTAAAACGATACTTAATTTATTTTTTACATTGATAAAAGTAATATGTACTTGCACAGTGAGAGTCTCTTGTGGTATCTCTCAAAGTAACGAGCAAGAAGCCACTACTGAGCTCTTTTGTAGCAGTGCTGGTGCGTGGCGGGGGAGTGTGAGGGGTTGTATTTGGTCGCACAAGGACAAAAGTGTTAGTGAACCCGGGGCTGAGCTCGGAGCCATTGCTGGCAAAGAGGCAGCACTGGGAAAACTTGCCTGCAGTCCTCCTGAATGCAGCAGTGTTCAGCTCTAACTTGGCTTTAATTTTTTTTTCTTGAGTTTTCTGTATTAGCTGCCAGCTGTAGTTACATATTTCTTTGGGACATCACTGCTTTCCTTTTAGAACTGGGACTTCTTTTCAACCAGCCTTTTTTGCCACAGTCTCTTGGCATTTGTAGTGTTGTTGCACAGCCTTAAAATTTTATTTGGATCCACGGTTTTGGGAACATCTGATCGTATGAATGGCACAGAATTTATTTTCAGGCTACCAGGAAGTTTTGTTTCTCTGCATTTAATCCACTGAAGCTGCTATTGCTCGAGTCTGCTTTTGATAACTTGCCTTGATTTGCAATATCTGGCTTTGGGTGCTGGTTGTAAAGTAATTTCAGTTGACTTAATGTTGCGGCCTCGAGGCCGTGCGTGTTTCCTAGTAAAAATGAAGTTTTCCATGAAAACTGATTCGTGGAAGGGATTCTCACTGAGGAGGAAGTGCGGAACTGGCTGAGCAGGAAGGGTGTAGCATGTTCTCTAGTTTATGGTCATTCGGCTGGAGATTTTGCCCTAATTCAGGGCTACGAGCCTAGAATAACTGATACGGAGAGTTTAATAGGTTTGTTTTGTGCAACTTGAGTTCAGAAGCGTGTGTGTTCATGACTTCTTACCTCTAGACTTTGAGGGTTTTAAATCCTTTTCCCTATAGYGTTAGCATTGCTGTTTAAACGGCGTGCATGGTTTGTTTGGAATAACACATAATRTAAGAAAATTGGTAAAGATTAAGTGCAAAGCTTAACGTGAAAAGTGTATTAGAAACATGTCAAGTCATCTTTGAGCTATGTGAAGAAGCTTGYAAATGAGCTCTGGGACATGGAAAGGTAACTGACTTTAAGCTGATCCGTTTCATTGTACAAAAGAAACTAAGTAGCATCTGTAAATGCTTTTATTTTTGTCTGTTCTGTATGCAAACAGGGCATTTCCTGTTTTGTGTTCAGAGCTGCATGACCCATGCTATGGGTGTTAAAACATTAACCAAATTATTTAGCTGTAGACTACTGATCTTAAGTGATTATGCTCTTAGGGTAGGAGTGTACTGCAAATTGAAATAACTGTAATTCAAATRTTCCTATTTGCTAGAATATGAGGTCTTTGAGAAGCTCTCAATACAAGACTGCTATTTATAGCATGTATCAAACAGTCTTTGCAAAGAGGTAATGACTCTTTTTTCTCTAGGAAATACATATAAAGGAACCTACAGAAAAGGAAGTAAATCCACGCTTGTTACCAGGTAACTGTTCTAAATTTATAATTTGAATTAAAGTAAATGTGATTAGAAATGTATTTTCTCTTCTTCACAGATTGTTATAAAGACTGTTTTTTACAACTCCTTTAGAGCACAGTATCTTCAGGGAACCTGCATTTGGAGAATTGTGTGTATACTTTGCCTATTAAAGTGGTTTTTGTGGGGTTTGTTTGTTTGTTTTTTTTAGAACCACGGACAGACCAATAGAAAGTTGAAGTTACGTTACTTCACTTCTACTTTGGGCCTTTCTGTACTTCCTTTGCTCTGAAGTTCTTTAAAACTTAGAGATCTTTAGATGATTTTTCCCCCAAAATACTGTTAGTGCTCTCTAATTTCAGGAAGGATGAGCTTACTGATACTGACTTAAAATACAAGCCTAGCTTACAGTCACAGTAGTCTTCTATAATTTATATAAAAGGCTGCAAGTCCAGCTGTGCAAACCTACTAAAATTTGTCTTTGAAGTAATTGCTTTCTTAAACTTGAACTTAGTTTTTGTTTATTTTTAGCATAGGAGCTTCATTGAGCACTATTTATGCAGGTGAGTTTGAGGACTTTAAAATGAGCCTGGAACCTATAGAAAGTAGCATCTCTGGTCAAAACTATGAAAAAGTAACTGTGATAAATTTGTAATAAATTAAATAACAAATGTGTCTGTTGGAGAGCTTGAGAGTAAGGAAAATCAGAGTTCCAGCTTGTTCATAGACCAGCTTCTTCCTCCGCATGACAGATTGCATTTTTTTTAGTAGGTGTTTGTATAAAAACACCTTTGATTTGTGACTGTGTGCGTTGTTCTCCTGTAAGGGAGAGGAGATGGTGCTATAGGTGCTTCTGGTCACTGAGGTTCTAGCCATGTGCATTTGAACACTGGAGAGCACTTTTCACTCCACCCTGAGCAACGGTGGTAACCTGGAAGGAAACCAAGGTACTGACCCCAGGAGCCCCTTGGCCTTGTTTTTAACRGTGATGATAAATCTTCAGGCATGCAGAGCATGAGAAGCTGTCAACAAGTTAATGTTGAGTTAAAGAGGAATGATTCAGCTATGTTTTRATGCTGGCTGTGATGATACAAGCTAAGTGTTTGTTTTTGTACAGGTGAACTGCTGCTTTGTGAAGCAAACACGGTGTACAAGTACATACAAGAAGATGGGTCAAATCGTGGCACCTATGGGAAGCTCATATGCACAAACTTCAAGATTTCTTTCCTTGATGAAGATTCTGCTTCAGATGACAATGTAGGAAGACAAGTGTCTTAGTTGTGACCAAACAGGCTTTGAAGACAATCTCTTGTCTTCAAGAAAGACTATAATCTTTTTCTCACATAAGAAAGACTGAAAATAAATCTACAGTAATTTTTAAAGGCCACAGTTGTGTTAATCAATTCACATCTGCTTGGTCTATGTGGTTCCTTCCCCGACTGTTTTGATTAAAAAATGCAAGCCTGTTCTGGACTTTTATAGTTAAATGTAGTTATGACTCTTGTGGATTAGTAATTATATAAGGAGCAAGTTAAAAGAGCAAATTGGTTTAAAACTTAAATGTAAAGTTTACGTAAACTTGTGCAATTCTAATCTTTATCAGCAATTATAAAAGTGCGAATGCTGTCTGTGCTTCTAAGGTAGTAAAACATCTTTTACTTGCCTTTGTGCCCCATGTGCAGAAGCTTTTGGGGATTCCACAAGATTAATTAGATAACCATTCAGTGGAAATACCCTAGATAATTATGCTTGCTGTGTGGCTATATAAATCTCTGATTTATTGTGTTAAAAATAAGCTGTTGCGAACTGTAGAAGCTAAAGATCCTAGCACCATTGAGCCACCAAACCTTTTAAGCCATCTCCTCACACTGTTTTGCAGGTGATTTGAATCTAGTCTTTTGTTCCACATGCTCAAACTGAGTTGTCTGAAGGGGAATGATAGTCCCGCTCCTTTTTGGATGGGCTCAAGCGTGTCTTCATCTGGTTCATTTGAGTTATGCCATTGAAGGATAGACTAGTATATGGATCCCAAGAATGCAAAGTGATCTTGACAGAGAGGAAGTTTCCAGGAGTTAAATATTGAGAACTGATGTTTTGGCAGCTGAATAAGTTGACATGAGTGGACATTTGAAGTTCCTTGGGACAAAGCTCTAAATCTCTTCCCACAGATGACGTGAGGTTTATTCTAAACCATTGATCTTGCCCTATTCAATCAGTAACTTGTAAATCCTGGGTTGGTATGAGAGATATAGTTGACTTGACATGTTAGCAAATGCTCAGGGTGAGTAATGCAGACCTGGAAATAACTCCAATATGGTTAACTTTGTTCCCAGTTGTCTTCATRTAAAACTTAAATTTGGTGATGTGGTGCATCTCAGTCTTCTGATAGTAAAGTTTTACTGGTTTATAACTGAYATTATGCAAAATGTCATTTTTGTACAGTGATTTAAGAGTAATAAACTGAAGGGAGTCTTAATCACTTCAAGTTTCCCAGAACAATAGAGAGTAGGGTTTTGTGCATGTSGTCATTTCACCCAGTGATAAATCTGACTGCTGCATTGGAATATTCTTGGGATGCTTGTTGTCTTAAGAGACTTTGTTTCCTGCCTGATTCCCACAGCAAGGAAACTTATCATAAAAGGGCTTGGATTCCATCAAATTACTGTATTTCCTGTTTGTTGCAAGAATTCTAGTTTGAAAAGTGACCCTCAGTAGAATTATCAGCTTTGAAGTTATTTGAAAAGCAAAAACTCTGCACACCTTGCAAGCGCAGCTGGGACCTTAAAAGGCAGGCATAATTCATCTTTATTTTAACAACTGGTTTTCAGTGTTCTGTTTTGCAGAACTTTTAAGAAATAAAGCTGATACATTTAAATGTATACTAAATATTTTGTTTACTGGTGAGAAGGTGCTCCTGGTTAGTGGCATGAGACTTACGAGATTTTTTTTTCATGTTCTAGGAGCCACAGTTCAAAAATAAAATCATAGGAGAAAATGACATCACCCTGCAATGTGTAGACCAAATATATGGAGGTAGGTCTTTTTTGTTTGTCATGCCAGCATTAGAAAATAATTCTAGATGTAGGGTATTTTTGGTCTGTATATCTGCATTCTTTTTACAAAACTGGTAGTTTTCACTTTCCAAACTTGGATTGGATAGCCTGGAAAAAGAAGCTTCAGTTAAACAATGATGAAATGGCAGGTAATAAATCTGTTAAAGAGCTTGCTTTTGTCCCTCAAGCTTGTCACATTAGCTTCAAAAAGTGGGGGAAAAATGCCTTGAATAAGGGCAAAGGAGAGTGTATTCTACTGTGTGCTTGGTTACGAATGGTGCACAAGTGTTTTAGGAATAGTTGGAAACATTGACATAGGAAGAATAGCTTAATTTAAGCAGTTGGACTGCACAGTGATTCAGTTAGCAAATTCTCAAAGAAGACTTTTTTGTCTAAGACAGTTTTGCTTTATGGAGTTATTAATATTTCAATGTTTTCAAAACATCAAAGGATTTTTAAAGCAAGCTTTGCAAGTAAATAGTGAGCTCCTTGTTTTGCTACAGGACTTGAAGGTCTGCAAGGTCTGTATGGCAAAAAAGGCAAATAAGAATTGGAGCAATGGTCTGTAAGCAGCAGGGAAAGCTTTAATGAAAAGACAGTGTTTAGAGGAATGTTATCAGTATAAACTGTGGCATGGTAGGAAGGGGGTGGTGATGACCTGTGGTGTAGATTGACAAAGGATCTTATCAGTGTATACAAATACCTTAAGGGAGGGTCTCGGGAAGTTGAGGCCAGACTCTTTTCAGCCGTAGCCAGTGATAACACGAGAGAGCACAAACTGAAGCACAAGAAGGTCTGCCTCRTTTTGAGGGAAAAACATCTTGACTGTGAGGGTGGTGGAGCACTGGAGCAGGCTGCTCAGAGAGGTTGTGGAGTCTCTCTAGAGATATTCCTGGATGTGATTCTGTGCAATGTACTCTGGGTGACCATGCTTGTTAGAGGGGTTGGACTAAGCGATCTCCAAAGGTTCCTTTCAGCCTTGGTGATTCTCTATGGTTCTCTGACGGAGACTAGTTATGAGACACTATATGGCTTATTGTACAGCAGCTTAGCTGCCAGCAGTTTAAGATGAGAAAAGGTTCATTTTTAAACAGAAGTGTTTAAAGGAARTATATCTATGTAGGTTTCTCTTGAAGGTATTCTGGTGTGTTGTGTGGTGTGTTCTTGGGAGGGGAGAGGAGATGGGAAGGAGATGAAGTTGATTGTATAAAGACTTTGCCTTGACCAAAATTAGTTGTGTTCTACTGCATAGCCAAAACTTGAGACTTACTGTGCAGTCTGAATTTGAACAGAAGTTATTACTGAATAGCTGATTTGCTACAAATTCAATTCCTATTGTTTAAGAGGTAGTTTGAGTTGGAATCTTTTAGGAATGGATGGGATACTGAGTGTGTAAACCCAAGAACTTGCTAGAAGACCTGTATGGTACGATGGTGGTTTTGACTTGAACTTGAATTAAATTCTCTTCTTGAGTTTCTGGGTAAGATAAAGCTGTCCTTGCTTGACAAGTGATGGGAAAGTTCTCTATGTTTATTTAGACTTCTTTCTTCTTCAGTTTATGATGAGAAAAAGAAACTCCTAACTGGACAACTGAGAAAATACCCAGAGAAATTAATTATCTACTGTAAAGACCTGAGAGTATTTCATTTCTGCCTTAGATATACAAAAGAAGAGGAAGTAAAAAGGGTAAGTACTAACTTCATGTTTTCAGAAGCTTGCTGGTGGGCATTTAGCCATAGGGATGAGGGGAGGGTAAGAAGCGGGCTTTGAGATCCTGCAGACTTCAAGTGTTTCTTCATTATTCCCACATGAAGAGGGAAGGTAARAGGAGACCAGCTGATTTTTTAGCTAGAAGTGTTCATTCTACATCTTTATGGAGAGCAATTAAATGATTGTTGCACTGACTGTTTAAAGAGAGCTGATCCTTGGGAACACTGCATGAAAATAGCTTCAACTCAAGCAAATATCTAAATCTATTTTGTTTGTGGTACTATTTTATTAGATTTTTGGCCTCAGTTGCTGATATGTGAGCAAGGTTTATGTTTTTGGGAAGGGGTTCTTTTCACAGATTAAGCTGAATTCCAAACCAGGAGGTGAATGGCTTTACTTAAATAACAACATGCAAAATAAGAGTTGTTTCTGAGGCTGAAGATGTGTAATTCCTCTCACTGATTAAAGTAGGCCCACTTGGCAACCAAGGGAGAAGGGTTTCTAAGAGTTAGTTTTCAACTGATGGGAACAGAACCTGAATGTCTTCATTGAGACCCTACTTGTTTGCAAGGCTATAGGTTTCCTTTGAAAGAGACCTGCCTCATTGTATTAGAACTTCAGTTTTCACTGGGCAATAGTAAACCTTAATCAAGGATCTTCCCCAGTACGTAATGGGTGTCCAAGGTGGCACAATGCAAACATGAAAATATCTTAGTGTAAACGTCCTAATGAATACACAAAAACTTTGCTGACAGTGAGAAACATGTTAATGTTTGAAGTATAAAATAAGATAATATTTAAATATCTTACASTTGCACATCTTTGAGACCTCAGATACTTGAATTTCTCTGAATTCAGATATTCTAGAGAAACCTGAAAATTTTTATCAAGTATCGGAGTGCTTTGTGTGTGTCTGTGTTCTTTTGTGGTTCCTGTTTTCTGTCTAGCAGTAGTCCTGTGCAATGTGCTGATGTAGTAATACCTCTCCTATACATCACATCTTTAGTCTTATTTTGCTAAGGTATTATACAAACCTTGGGAGAAGTGATTAAGTTATGATGTTTACAYTGAGTTTTATTCATCCATGTTGGAGTGTTAATCTTTGGTCCTTTCTCAGATTGTCAGTGGGATAGTTCATCATAGCCAGACGCCTAAGCTGCTTAAACGCTTGTTTCTGTTCTCTTATGCATCAGCTGCCCCAAACAACACAGGTAAATGCTTCTACATATACATTGTTTTAGGTTGTATTTGTTGCATGTGCTTTTCTAAACAGTCTGGGGTGTTTAGTATCTGAGTTTGCTCGTCTCAATGCTAACAAGTTTATTTACCACATTTTCACTTGTTCTGCACTGTTAGATTTTGCTGTTAAAAATATCTGATGTTCATGTACCTTAACACAGATGGTGGAAAAAAATGTCAAGAGTAGCATTTGAAATTTGAAAGCTGCTTAGCTTGTCCTCCTAATCAACGTGCTCTCATATTTTTTTAAAAAAGTATTTTTCCTGTATTATTACAGTGAATTTCCTGCTCTTAAGTGGTAACTGTTGTGGCATCTCCGAAAGGATGTCCCTTTTTGCCCTTAACTGCAGGCAATCTGCAAAAAAGAAAAAAAAAAATTAAAAAAAAAAAGAATAAAGTTTACATAGCAAGGTTCAGCGGGATTCTAACTTCATCACAGCTGATAAGTAAATTAAAATATAGTCTTTCCACTTGATCAAACCTGGCTGAGTAAATACATATGCTGTAAAACTCAAGGCATGTTTGTCAGTGCTCTGTCTAGCACTTCACAGCTCTGAGTTCAGCTGCAGCGATAGTGGTGTCTTAAATTTCGATCCTGATTTTTAGTGCGACCAGGGCACTTCTTGGGTACAGCAAAGAAGAGAGGAGAGAAAAGCTTCTTCTGGGTATTAAGCATATTTCCTAGGTTCACCAAATTCTTGAGAAGAATATTCTGGAGATTGTCTAGTCCAGCAGTCCTGCTCAGAGCAGAGTTAACTAGGGCAGGTTTACCAGGATTATGTCCAATTGGGTTTTGAGTATCTCCGAGGCTGGAGACTCCACAACCTGTTTCAGCATTGGAGTGCCCTCACAGTGGAAAAGTGAGTGGTGTTTTGTTTGTTTGTTTAAATGACATTTTCTTTATTTATTGTCTCCTGTGTCCTGTTTGTTCACTGCGTGCAACTGGGATGAGTTTGGCTCGGTTGTCTTTACACTTTCCTACCAGTTGCTGAAATGGTGCTGAACCTTCTTTAAGCTAAACAATCCAGGTCACTCAGCCTCTCYTCATATGTCAGGTGCTCCAAGCCCTTCGTTGTAATAGGCCTTTGCTGGACTCCCTTCAGGGAGTCCATGTCTGTCTCATACTGGGAAGCCCAGCCCTGTTGCAGGGCCCCAAATGTGGTGTCTCCAGTGCTGAGTGGTGAGAGAGAACCTCCTTCCTCAACCTACCAGCAGTGTCTTTCCCAGTGAATAAAGACCATGTTGGTTGCTGTGTTGCAAAGGCTTTTGTTTACTGCTCAGATTGCAGCCTTAGCTGTAAATGATGTTCATTTTGAAGCACAAACATCAGAAAAATGCTAAGTTTTTTTTCTAGGCAGAGATTAAGAAAATGCAGGTGCCTGCTCCCTATAGCAGCATTGAAATGTTTTGTCAAATTCTTCCATATAATAAATCTTACATAATATGTACCTATTTCTTATTCTGTGAGCTTTCTACAGGATGAACAGACCAGATAGACTTCAAAAATCGATCTTGTCTTTTATAGTCTGTCCTTCTAATCTAATTTGTCCCTTACAACTCAGCAACATTCTGTGTTTCCAGCTGTGTGCTCTTCATCTACCATATATTCTCACTGTGGAAAGTGTACATTTGCCATTGTATCTTCCATAGAAATTCTAGCTGTTTGTTTTTCAGGATCAGTTGATACTGTAGGGTACTTATTTATGATGTGTCTAAAGTTACTGGCTTTGTATCCTGAGTTAGGTGGGTTTGATATGTGTGGCTAAGCTAACCTGATTTCATAACTAGTTTTGAGCTTGTTACATGAAAATGCAGGGGAAAATCTTGGTTGAGAAGACAGACCTTACTGCTATAATCAGTTTCCCGTTCTTATCAAGTAGCTGAAGTGTTCAGTGTAGAAATCTTACCAATGATGAAAGAATGAGCATTAAATAAAATGGGATATCTGAATTGTAGAGAGACTGCTGCTAATGAATGTCAGCTCTGTCCTTAAGTGTGTAATTGGATGAGTTGGCTRCAGCAGAGTGCAAAGCAGTTTGCTGACAGTGTGTGAAGTCTCAGCCTAAACGTGAAGAACCGTAGCAGCTCTATAAGGCCTAGCTGGCTTCAARGAAATTTTATCTTGGGCTCAAGACTCTATGTAGAAATTGTTTTAATTCTTTTAAGAGAAATGGTTCCTTTTCACTAGGAATACTTTCATGTTAGCAATTAAGTAGTTCTCTGCAAAACTGAYGTGACTGATATGTGACAGGTGGCAGAAACCAAACTGTGATGTTTGATACTCTCGAGGACTGGCGTGATGAGCTGGAACGGACCAAAGGGAATGTGAAATATAAAGCAGTGGTCACCAATGAAGGCTACAGAGTTTCTGAAAAGTAAGCCTGCCCTAACTAATAATAAACTGTGATATTAGCATTTTTAAACATTAATATTCAGCACTGCGATATAGTTTATTAGCATGAATTTCTACTACTTCTGTAATCTGACACAACTCCAAGTTGGATRCGGCTAAGTTAGTCATGACGCTTTTTTAGAGATCGGTTTCAGATATATCTGCAAAAGTCCCACATTTAACTAACATCAGAAAGGCAGGAGAAGGTTGTAAAGAAAACAATGAACAGCTCGGGATTAGGGGAGAGGAGGGAAATCTTATCCCTGTGAAAACACAAATGACACAAATCTAGTGGGAAAGCTTTTTTGTAGCTATAAGAGTGAGTATATAATTAGCATGTGTGATAGAGTACTTGCCATAATTAATGGGAGCTCAGAGACTGTTCTTTGTTCAGCCCTTAATTAAAAGAAGCTTTTGTCATTCTAGGTTGCCTTTGTATTTTGTTGTTCCCATATGTGTCTCTGAAGAGAGTATTTTGAAGTTCCAAGGCAGAGGCATTCCTGTAAGTAAATGTGTATTGTTGAAGGAGAATAAATGCTTCTAAGAAGACAAAGCTTTACCTGATGCTTTAGGTGTTATTGCATTTTAGCTTCAGAATTTGTCTAACAGTTGATACATAGCACACTGCGTCTGTAGAAGGAGAAACAGATGTTGGAAGGAGAGTCAGAGTTTTCCCATATTCCCCTAAGCAGTGTAAAGCAAAATACAAGACTTAGTGGTTCACATCTCGCAGTTAGTTATCAAATGCCTAATGCCCAGTAGTTGCACATGCTACTAGTATTTCCTTCCATGTGTATTTTCACTSATAACAAGTATCTGACCACCAAGATGGTGCGGCATGTATGGCTTGAAGTGCTGTTTAGATATTGAGGTGAAGGTTATGCATGTGCAGGTCTTGATGAATACCTCCAATTAGCCACCGTGGGTATCACTAATAGTATGGGTGTGGTGATTGCAGCATCCTTGCAAAGCCAAGTAGCCTAACTGAAAAACTAGTTCTACCGGTCCTGCCAGAAAATGACATTAAATATGCTCTTCTGCTCCCTATAGCAAGGTGACTGTAACTTCCTGTGTGGCACCRCAGTTTAAGAACTAGCAAGACAGTGTAGAAGAAGGAACAAAGAAATGTCACTTCCGAGATGTTACCTTAGTTGCTGAGTGTCTGTTGAATTTGCCAGTGAAAACAACGTGCTCTTAAATTGTCTTTTGTGAAGATGCTTGTATATTGTACTGCCTAATGTGACCTTTCAGACAGTGAGCCTCAGAGTAGTTTGGCTGACCTGTTCTCAAGTAGTCAACAAAACAGCCTATAGTAGATGCTATGTAGGAGTAAAGTGTAAGATGCTTTGTGCTTCCTTTCCTCCCTTCTCTCCCCGTGCCTTAATTGTGTCTCGTGTTGTTCAGAGGCCCCGGAGAAACTTTCTAATTAGTGTAGAAACAAGCTTGGCTGTCCTCATTCTGTTTGAAATGGAAGTGAGGTGGCAATATAACCACTGCTTCTACCCTTGATGGGTTGAAGGGTTTGTGCCTCCTTTTGAGGTACACCTCTTGACTATGAGTTGATGGAACAGACCCCCTTACCAGATTTTTGATGCTGTCTCCAAACCATAGACTTATCGCAGAAAGTAGAAGCCAGCTTGGTTTCCTTTCTGTTCTCCAAGAGTAACCTCGGGCTAAACCCACTGATTCTTTTGGCAGTTATTGGGGAGAAACAAGGATGTGCATAGGTGACTGAGTCTTAATTTGGCTTTGGTAATTTTTCTGATGAAAGGATTTCTGACCTTAAGTTTCAAAGTGAGTTAAGATTCTGTGGAAGCTGCAAGCAGATGYGACTCATGAACTCTGTAGTGGATATAAGGGAATTGAGAAGCTCAGTAGTTGAAGGTGTTCCTTGTAGCAAGCCAGTCCTCAGTCAGATTAGTTGTGGAGTTCTCGTTTAGTATCTTACTTTGTATGCCTAGGTAACACTGACATATGCACAGATCATGGCAGTGATTTTTGTGAGTTACCTTGAGGTAGAAATATAAGAAAAACACCATTATGTCTAGTCTACGTGGAGAAACTGATAGGTACTATATAAAAGCCACTTAAGGGCTGGCTTAGTTTGGCGTATTTCCAGCATAACTTAGACAGTAGCCGTTTTGATCATTTTTTCAGCTCTGAGACAATTTGAAAGTAGCGTTTTGATTATAATCTGACATCTTGTTTCTCTGTGTCAGCCTAAAGCTCTGTTTACAGTTTGCAGCTGCTAACAGTGTAATTAGGCATTTCATTTTGGTGCAGATGTTCAGGTTTGCTCCTGATGGGTTCACTGGATGCATCAAAATCAACAGAGCATAGCATGGAGAAATCTACTGGACTCTATTATCTTGGCAGATGCTTTCTATAGGCAGTTGACTAATTAGTACTTGATGTCTTCCTGCAGATTTGGTGTTGGTCTTGCCATAATGGGGCTGCTCTTCTCAAAATGTCTGCATTTCCCAAAGAACAGGATGACAACACTTCACAAATGCAAAAAGCCTTCTTGGATGGGTCAGTAATAGCTATTCTGTCCACAACACTTTGCTTGGTATGGACCTTGCTTCTCTTTTTCCATATATGCTTTGTCTTTATACTTGCACGCATCAGGAAACAAGTTCTAGATCTAAAAGTAGTTTTTATTGCTTTAAACTCTGAGCATAACCAGCATCACTGGTCTGTCTTGCAGGACTTTAACATCACTGAAGGCTTGTTTGGGGGAATGTGCGCTAGATGAATCTGTACCTCCTGTGAATAGATGGAAGCAATTAGAAATAAGCTAATAAAGCAGCTTGAAGTGCTATAGATACAGAAGTACCACTAGCTGAAGGATGCAACTGTGTTCRCAAGCAAGAGAAGTCCAGACTTTTAATTACTGAACATTAACTTGCGAGCTAAACTTGAAGCCTTTCTATAAGGCTAGCTGTTCTCAGAGCTAGATCTTTGTCCTCATATATTTCATTTTTTAATCTAAAATGGCTGAGACAATCTGGAAGTTTGCTATTGCTGCTCTCAGGTGCAGTGCCRGACAGTAGTACACTGTTTCAGCTTAGTGAGCACAGCAGAAGGCTGAAAAATGTCAAAGCTGACAGAAGGGGAAGAGCAGAGTTGCCTGGCTGTAGCAGTTGCAGCAGTGACTTGCTGCTGTTTTCTCTAGTTAACCTGCTTAGACTCCTGGAGAGACTTTCTAACCCGCACAATAGGTTAGTTGGGATCCGTATGTGCACATAACCTCACTGTCAGCAGTTTGTGCTTCAGACTCTGGTAACTGCATAGAGCAGCTAGCTGGTAGCTTATTTAGGTACTTGCCTTTTTTTTTGTTTGCTTTTAAAGTTAAGTACACTTGCATGGTAAAGGCTTTTAACCCTTTCTGCAGATTCCCTAACATTCTGCTTTTGAAATGAGGATGTTCACATGATTTATGTCTTACTATAATGTTATTTCAAATTGTGAAAGTAAGAAAAAAAATCTGTAAGCTTTAACAGAATATTAATTGATATTCTGGGCCCTCCTCTTTGGTTATCTGAACTTGCTGGCCATGTTCTTTTTATGGAGTATTAGTGGTTAACCACAAACGTTTTAAAATGTACATGTAAATTGTGCATAAGGATGTGTTAACATGCTATTGTAATGGTAATCTGATCTCCTAACCACACAGCATATGTATATTATTGACAGCTTTTCTTGGTGCAAAGTTTTGTGCAGAGCTTGATCTTCTGGCTTAAACATTTCAGTTTGGAACCAGTGTCATAGTTCACAGATAATTATTTTCATTCCATTCTCAAAGAACTGATCCGTTCCCAAGTAGCCCTAATGAYTAGTATCTCTGAGCTTGACTCGTGCAGTTCCTGCTTATAGCAGACTTCTATGTTGCAACAAACAGCAAATAAATTCCTTTTTCTGTGCTGTCCAAGTGCCCRCAAGGCTTCACCCCTAAGCAGAATCAAGAGCCGTTCTTCCCAGATCTTAACCATAAAACATCAGCATGATGGTGAATGGTTCTACTAAGCTGATACTCGTCTGGGATGATGGTTGAGTACTTGACTTAGACCCAAGGTTTATCTGTAGTCCAGGCTCATCTCTACCTCTTCTCTGCTTTCCCCACCTCAGGAGGGAAACTAGCAGGTACACAGTGTAGATAGGAAAGGATGTAGACTTTCAGTCCATACAATTTTCTTCCTTTATTCATGTTTTGTGAGCAGATCTGGCAGGTGAGGGTCAGAATGCATTTCAGGTGGTAAAAATGAACAAAAATTTGAAGTATGTGGAAGATTTAGCTGTTCCTGTCCATTCGCTTTCTCCAGGTTCACCTCTGAAGAGACGGTTTCTATTCTAAAAAGCAGTAATACGAAGTAGAGATCTTTGTAATATTTGTAAAGCTCCACAAATATGCATAAACACTGCCTCTTTTGTATCACTGGAACAGTTAAGATCAAAACTTTTCCTAAGCTTGTAGGCAAGCTTCCTGATAGTATTTTAAAATGCATGTGAAGATGAAGTTCCCATTATGTATATTTCTTAGTCTTACAGCTGTTCTTTAAATCATGCATGTTAACTTTGTTTCTAGGGATAGTGGATGGTACTTTGATGTGTGAAAGCAGAAAGCTTAATATCTTGATAATTTGATTTAGAATCTATAGGACAATTAGCAATCCTCCCTATGAGCTCCTGAAAACAGAGGACCTGTCCAGCAGCCTTCCATCTCTGCAAGATATTCAGACTGCCTACACAAGATTTAAACAGCTCTTTTTGATAGGTAAGTCTGACTTTAATGTATTACATTAGTCTGAGACACAAAACAGTGCTGAGCTTTTTYGTGAGTGCAGCCCTCATCTTTATTGATGTTCTGTTTCCATTTATGGTTAAAAGCAGCCTTCTAAACATGTAACTGAAGGCTGTGTTCATTATTGCTGTGTGAAGTTTTGTGATTTTCAACATTAATATGACTTGCAGTATCGGAAACTGACTTTTGAAGAGTTAGAGCAATTACTGGAGCTGTAATGCAAGTTATACATGAGCTGGTTTTGAACTGTTGTGYAAGAGCTTTTCAATCTTGCCCAGTTCATTTACATATTAAGTGTTAAAACTGTGAGCCTTTGGGCTATGTCAATAGTTGAAACTAGCTGCTGATTGATTTTTTTTTGCCTTAACTCCTATTATGAACTAGTCACACTTCAAAACACGAATTGTGTGAATTTGCTTCTGTTGTCACTCCTTGCAGAGCAATCAAAACTACTGTAAATCATGAGACCCCTGGAAATGAATAAAAATGAGCCATGTGCAATTGTAACCTTGGCTTTCAAGTTCTGTTTTTAACACCTTACCTATTTTGTTGTCATGAAACTGTGCTTTGGCCTTACCTCTAGGAAGAACAAGGTCCAACTGCATGTGCACAGTGACCTATCTTGGGAAGTGGGTCTTTTGCAATATTAAATGGGGGCAAATGTTGCAGTGCCCTGGCTTGTGGCCTGCTGGCCCCTGGCCACAGTTTGCTCAAGGCTGCTTGTGCTGGACCTGATAGAGCAGGTCATCAATGAGGAGTTTTAAAAAAAAAAAAGTTATCTGGAAGTTGATACTGTGTATAACTTGACCTGATGGATGTCCTCTGTATGTGGTGATAAGCTACAGAACACTGGGTGTAGGGAGCAATTCTAAAAATTGAATGAGAAGAGCGTGAATTGAGGAGCCTCCTATGTAAAAGGCCTTTTAAAGGTCAGAAAATGAATTTGAGAAAGCAAATTGGGAAAGATCAGAGAAGACTATTCAATCTGAACAGAATGGCTAGGAGCTTTGAACATGTGCTCTAATGCTTAGGCTCAGAGGACCTCTGGGTTCTATGGTCAAAGTGAAGTAAATTGGAGGGGAGAAAAGTGTGTTAAGGTTGAGCTTAAATGAGGAGGGAATAAGAAGGAGGCAGAAGAGTTACAGGTACAATCCAGATAAACATCTGTGCTTAAGGATTAGAGGTGAAAGCTGTAGAAACAAGACAGAAGTGAGTATGTGCTGGGAGTAAATACCTGAAGCATGTGGAGAGAAGGGTGGTTAGTCATAAGCAGGGTATCCACTTGAACAGTGTTTAGGATTGAGTCCTTGGTATTGTTTTAAAGCTCTTCATACTTGAAGACTAGTACAACAGATGACTGAAATAACAATTCAGCACTGTGTATATGTAAACAAGTCAAGCTTTTTTATGTGTTTTGTTTTTTTAGATAACAGTACAGACTTTTGGGCGACTGATGTGAAATGGTTTTCACTGTTGGAGAGCACGAACTGGCTGGAGATCATCAGGTTTGTCACATATAATAATCTGTCCTTGAAACTTAAATGAATTTATAGTGGATTTTGTAGCTATCTTCTTGAAATACAAAGGCATTCTTCACTTTCAGTAAGAAAAAAAGACAGACTTATCCTATTTATATCTCTTACTTCCATACCCTGAGCCTGTATTTTTACAGGCAGAATAGTGTTAACCTTCCCACACTAAAAGATGTGAGAATCAGCAGACCACTCTTCCAGCAAAACCTTTAAAGTTGTAGATCCTGTAGTTTCACTCCTGGTCTTAGTCACCTTCTTTCCAAACTGAAGATCCTGTTTGTTTCTTGCATGAAATCTATTTCATGTCTCTGACTGGCCTTGCCATTCTTCTCTGTACTCCTGTAATATCCTTTAGGAYGGGATGAACCGCAGTACTCAAGATGTTAGCCCACCACAGATTTATAACATGACACTTGTTCTCAGTTTTGTCCCCTTCCTCTACTGATTGTTCCTCAAGTTCTTTTTTCTTCTCTCGGCAGTCCACAGTGAGTAAGTCTTGGCATGGTATTGGCTAACTTAAGGCTTGTTTTAGTGAAATACTGCAGYTGTTCTTGTCTTCAGTGTTACTTTGTGCCAGCTGAATTATCTGCCCGTTTATTATGTGATCAGCTTGCTGTTGGGAAGAGCTCCTTCCATCTTCTGCAGTCAGCTGTAGTCCTTTCTTCTCTGAATAACGGTCAACAAATGCTGCCAAATTGTTATTCAGTCTTTATTCTAGAGTTTACAAATGTGCTGAAAGAGAGAAGTTCTAGGGAAGGTTGTATGTTGAGGGAAGCAGTGACATAATTACTTTTATTTAAAAAAAAAAAAAAAAAAGGTAAATATCAGCCTGAGTTCTTRTCTTTGTTTTGAGACGGGTCATTTCCATACTTGAATCCAGTTTCTTCCTGAGTTGGCCTGTTCTTGGCTCTTGCAGTCAGTAGAAATGCYTCTTCAGCTAGCATAGAAGCTAGAACAGAGAATCTGACAACTCCACACTTATTTCATAAGCTGTCAACTTCTTTAGTGACCTAACCAGCAGCAAAAATGCAGTTTGCATGCAAGCTTTTGCTGAAAATAGCTTTGTGAAGAGTTTGGAGCAGAAACCAACTGCCTTGTTACATGTAACTGCCACTTGCATGTAGTTTTGTGATCTTTCATCCTGCGCTTTTGTCATCTTTGTGTGACCATCTTTGGAATAAATTTGTCTCTGTTTACAGCATCCTATTGTCAATTCTTCACTCTGCCCCTCTAAAGAGCATTGTAAGAGAGATGCTATATAGGAGATATATAGCATATAGTGTGGTAGAACTGACTTCTCCCAGGATTGAGATCTGGACATAAGCTATGGTTACAGTTTGTGTAGTGGCTGATGATGGTCCAGAATAAAATATGTATTATGATTGTACTGAGATGAGAACTGGAGATACGAGGTTGATTGCCAAATAAAGGTACCTTCCTGAATTTTTCAAAATCAAACATCTTCTCATTTACTCAAACTGAGCAGGTTTTTTTGTAGTCACTTTGATAGAGTAGGCAGCTTTCAGTAGTATGAAGTTCTCACCTTCTTTTAGGGAAAACCAGTGAGAAAAACTTAATTGCAAAAATGCTATTAAAATGTCTTATTTTTCCCTGTACCACAACAGGCGATTCTTGAAAAAAGCAATTGAAGTTGCTGAATGTCTGGAAAGACAGAATTCAAATGTTCTCCTTATAGGTAAGAATGTCTTGAGTATATCCTATATTTTTGTTTTAATTCTTTTTACTTGCTAAATGTAGCTTAAGCTGTCAGTTTAATTATGGTGAAGGCTGATAAAATTCATAAATATCAGTCCTTCATAAGCATCAGTCCTTCAAGTACTTACAGCCTCATATAAGTTTTGGAGTTGTTTTCTCCAGGTAACTAAGTATAGTCCCAGACTAAATGTGTTGTGAATGTGAAAGCTGCAGATGAATTTGCATGCAAGTCATGTTACCTCTTATGCATTTTTGTCTCCTCAGATATTCCATTGAAGGTCTGCTAGACCTTTTGCTGTACTTAAAACTTGAAAGAAAAAAAAAGAAAAAAAAATGAGAAGAGGTTTTAATGTTGGTTCTAGAGAAACTGAATAGTACATAGTGCCTGTATTAAAATTACATGCAAGAGGATATTCTTGCATACATCTTGAACAGTTTGTTCTGAATTGGGGACAGCAATCAAATAGAGATATAAAGTCAGCATTAACCCTAAACCTGTTTCCAGATTACTGATATAGACTCCCCACTTGAATACATGCTGCTGTTTGAGAAACCTGGTGTGGGGACAAGATGCTTCCCAGAGATCTCTGGAGGGTGGGGAGTGCGTGTTGCATAAGGAGACAGTTTCAGTGCTGCCGTGTGCTCCTTCCCACGTGTCTCTTGTGCATGTTTTAAGATGCTCTCAGCCCCAGCCACACCTTGAAGTGGCACCTGCAGGTTGGGAAGGGTGGGGATGGATCCTTGGCCTCGTAACATAGGGCACAAGGGGCAGCCTGTGCATTGGGAAACACTAAAGGGAGACGGAGGAAAAGCTATAGCAGTCTTTGCTTTTGTGTTTATTTGTATTATTATTGCAGTTACACACGTTTTGTTTAACTTATTACTGATTATATCCTGGTAAGTGTATACACCTTCAGGTTTTACAAGAACTGGTATTGAAAACATTTCTCTCTGGTATAACAATTCTAAGAAATTTTAGGTATAACTTTGTTTACTTAGCCAAAGCTAGCAATATTTTTATTATGTCATCCTTAAAACTTGGGCACAGGGAAACAGTGTGGCTTTTTTTTTTCCCTCCTCTGCAGAAGAGAGTGCTACTGATCTGTGCTGTGTTATCTCCAGTCTGGTTCAAGTAATGATGGATTCCTACAGCAGAACAAAGTCCGGATTTCAGAGCCTTATTCAGAAGGAGTGGGTAACTGGAGGACATAGCTTCTTGGATCGTTGCAACCACTTGCATAAAAATGACAAAGAGGAGGTACAACTTCTTTAGTTTCCTTATGTGCTATTTAAAAGTTCACTAAGCATGAAGAGGGGCTTGGATGTCAGGCTACGAAAATCTACTTTTCCTGAGGATCTCTTTTGTTTCATGAGATGATGTTTTGAACAATGTCACTATTTTTGTTGTTTAGAGTTCAGTCATGTCTTGCTGATTAAAAAAACAATAAGAAGAATTCCTATTTACTCTTCAGGGGTCTTTTGAAAGGCTTCTCATATCCTTTTAAATTTTATTAAACTGTAGCAACTAATGCAACAAGAACATTCAGTTCACTTGTATCTAGAGTTTAGTTTCATATGGTTTTTGCTGCAGTCTCATGTATATTTTCAGAAATAAAATGTTGTACAGAATGAATGTCATAGCTGCAAAGTGGTTATAAAGATTCTTGATCAGAACTAATCTACCCTGATTTGCTCACTTCAAATGACTTCAGACTGCTATTTTTCATAGCAGCTTAGTATGTGCTAGGATGTAGGTTTGTTTGTGCTTGTATAGGTATACAAACTAGGTATAGTTTGTGCTTGTATGTGCTAGTTCCTGTGTGCCAGGATAGAAAATGACATCTTTTTATCAAGAGATATATATATCCAAGGGATAGCTCAGGCTTTTTCAGGGTTCAGGTAAAGCTGTAGGCAGCAATTCTGTGTTTGTGTGAGTGTGTGTGTGTTTCCCTATAACTTTGSAATTTGCATTTGGAGAGACTGAATACAATTAGTACCTGGCTTGCACGATAGGATATTTTCCTTGTAACTGATTCAGTATTTTCTTTCTTTAGGCTCCTCTTTTTCTGCTCCTGTTAGATTGTGTCTGGCAGTTGGTGCAACAGTATCCTCCAGCATTTGAGTTCACGGAAACTTACTTAACAGTCCTGTCAGACAGCCTTTATGTACCCATTTTTAGCACTTTCTTCTTCAACTCACAGCATCAGAAAGACACTAATACGGTAAGGGTTTGTTGTTTTGGGGTGCAGTGCCTTGGAGAGCAGCTTTGACCAAGGACTAAGGGGTGCCTAAACTCACTAGCCACACATGAAAGTTGATGTCTTCAAAGGGAAGGAAAGTAATTTTAATGTAAGGAGTCAATTTCAGGCTTTCTCTGTCCTATATGATATAGGAAATTAGATTATTTGCTTCATCCCATAATAGGGGGAAAGTTAGGAATGTATTAGCTCAAGTGTGTGGCTGTAGTCTCACAGTTCTTGTATTTAGGTAAAAATGACATCCTGCTGTCCCGCATTATTTTTCATCAACAGTCTTGTGTTTTATACTCATTCCTCTTCAAAAGCAACATTCCTGAATGTTGGTTCCTGTGTATCTCTAGTCTCAAAAGCTGGAAGTAGCGAAGTTATTCCCTACAAGGCTGTACAAAACCTAAAAAAGGCAAAATTTGCTGTCTCTTAACTAAGGTGCGATGCTAACTTTGAAACTAAAGCAGTTCTGCAGTGCTGAGGAGTTAAGGGACTTGGGAGAGGCCTCTTGCCATACAACCTTAAAGCCCCCTTTTCTGTCCTCTCACTGCCCCAACCCTAAAGAATTTGTGTCCATTTGTCCAGCTTTTAAAATAACTTGTTTTTCTTACACTTAACACCTTTTTACGGTGTGATCCAAGTAACAGGGAATGTCATCTGAGTAGAAGTGAATAGGCAAGAAGGCTAATTGTGTGGTCCAGCTATTGCAACAGCATTTTTGATCTCTGTGCATTCAGTTCTATGGATTCTTCTATAGAGAAATGGTTTCCTTAAGTTCACCTTGACTTAGTCAAAATTCCTTTCTAGCAGTCTTAGTGGTGACCTGTTTGTTTTGGCAGACTGGTGAAAGCCTCAAGACACAAAGTGGTCCTTTCAAATTTCTTACTGTGTGGGATTGGTCTGTGCAGTTTGAGCCCAAGGCCCAGGCTTTGCTGAGCAACCCTCTTTATGCAGAGAAGTTAAAACCCGATAAAAGTCAACGGAAAACTACTCGATTCAAAGTAAGTTATTTGCTTGACTGTTTTAATCATAATAACATCTTGCAAAGTTAGTTGTGCTTCAGTTTGCTTACAGTAGAAGCATTGGCTCCAGATTTTGTTTGACAGAATGTATACACACCTCACCCTTCTGGGGTTTAAGAATGCAACTTGTACCAGTCTCGAGTTAAAATCACTGGTTTAGTAACACATGAGCGTAGGGGTTTTTCTTAATAGTTCTGTGCAAGTGTAGTGATAATTTCTATATGGGACTTAGAGCTAGTGTGTTGTGGCAACTCACCTGGAAGGGACTCATTTTGTTGAACCAAGTGCCTGATGGAAAGACAGAGCAGGCTCAACTGGTGCCTGAAATATATCTGGGTAAGTGTAATGTTATCCAGGATAGTGATGATACTGGATGGACTGTTTGAATACAGAAAAGTAGCGTGAATTCAGTAGCAAAAGCTTGTTTGGAGAATCTTCTCTCCTTGTAATCTCCTTGTAATGGGGAATAAATTCTGTTCTATAGAAAGCATTCTTGGCTGAAACTGCCTGCACAGTCTACAACATTATGTGTAGATCCTCTGTGTGGTGGGAGGCAACAAGAAACTCTTGAATTAGGAACTTCTAAATCAAGTGCTCTTAATTTCTTGTATGACTAGCTTAAATTTTTCAATGTAATATATTTAAAAGGAGAGGAAAGAAAGCTCTAATGTATGCAAATCAATATTTTGGTATATTTATTTCTTTTTCCCCTTCCCAAAGCATCAGCGGCAGCTTTCTTTGCCATTGACACAAACGAAGTCTTCTCCGAAGAGAGGATTTTTCAGGGAGGAAACGGATCATTTAATTAAAAACATTCTGGGTAAAAGAATTGGCAAGTTCATCATAAATTCCTCAGATGAACCTCACAATAGCTTCAAGGARTTTTATGATAGCTGGCACAGTAAACCTGTTGACTATCATGGTCTTCTGTTACCTTCCATCGATGGGCCAGAAATCAAAGTCTGGGCTCAACGGTATTTACGATGGATTCCTGAAGCCCAGCTGCCTGGTGGTGGTACAATAGCCACAGCTGCYAAGATTTTGGACTTGATGGAAGAAGTACAGAGCTTGCAAGTGAAAATGGATGAAGAACACAGCCAAGCTATTTCTCGAGATGTGCAGGCCGTCCCCATGCTGAGAAATTCTGCTCGTTTGTCATCCTTGTTTCCCTTTGCTTTACTTCAGAGACAGTCTATTAAGCCAGCTTTGCCCACTAGCACTTGGAAAGATTTGGAAGATGAAGATGACTTGGTCAAGAGGGATGATGAATTYGTTGACCTAAGTGGTGATATGTCATAAATTGTATATAAATTAAAGTATGATTTATGTGCCTAAAGTCTCTGTTTTAAATGTCTTGCTATATTCTAACATAAGGAGCTCAAGCATCTGCAGCTTCAGTCAGTTTGTGGAGTTTAAAAAAATAACACAAGATTGGTTGGGGAAAAAAGTGACCATGATTAACTGAGCATATTTTAAACTTCTATTTCACTCTTAAGTGTTGCAAAACTCACATTTTTAGCCTAGGTCTAATAAAAAACAAGTCTATGATAGAGCAGCCATATGGCCACTGTTTAAAAAAAGCTTTTCTGTGAAGGTGGCATACTAAAGACATGCAGCAGTAATCATGAGGAATCTGTTGGATGTCAATATTTTATCACCCTTCTTCCSCTTGAGCAAGACATACCAAGATCGGTATTTCACTGTCAGTCAGTTGTTAATACATCTGCTTTTTCTCTTTCCTCTTGTGAAATAAACAGGGAAAGTGGTAACTAAATATAAAAATTACTCACAAATGCCTGGCTGAGAAATCAACCTGTTGTCACCATGGTTCTTTGGGCTACTCCACTGTGAACTGAAGGCAGGTGCTTGTCAGCCTTGTGTTCACCTCTGGCTTGTGRAGCTGCTTCTTGGGTAGTATTTTAATGGCAGCTGCCTCTCCTCAGCCTCCAGCAATAAGGATCAGATGCAGGGCCTTAACTACATGTTGAGCCTTACTGTGGGGCTCTTGTGCTCTGCTCTCCTGCTGCTTTGCTGTATTAAGTCCCCAGTGCTCCCTGATGATTGTAGGAAGTGACCTGAGACTCTTTGTCAGTACTACTTTTTCCTCTTAATACAGTGAGAGRTTTCATTCCAGACTCAGTTTATACCAGTTGCCTTTGAGTTTTTCTGCAGCTTGCACTGGGACCCTCCACCTAGCAGAACAGTTTGCAGTCGTGCAGGGAAGCTGGATTTGCAGCTCTCGCTGCTGGCCATGGAGCGGTGGTGCAGCTCCTGAATGTGGCTTTCAGGATCATTGCAGCCTGTTGCTGGATGTTACAGCAGTACCTCAGTGAAGAGAAAAAGCCATAAAGAAAATGCCTGTCAACTTTCTCATCTACTGTGTCTGTTTATGTAAAAATATTTTTGCTGCGAATAGTTGCCCTTTGTAAAGTTGAGTTTTACTTGGTTAAATCTATTTTGAATGTGTAAATTCTACAGTATCCCAAGAATGGATGCAAGTCATAAAATAGTTACTTTGAAAGTGTAGAAATTGAATGTTTTCTCTGTACTCTAATACAAATGTAAAGATCCAAGCTTGAAGACTTAGGTGATGGAGAAACCGTCCCCTAAATTGGATCAGCTCAATGTTATCAGGGAAATTAAACTAGGTTACTGACCAGTCACTTCACACTGAATTATAGGTATAGCCAAAAAAAAAAAAAAAAAAATCTGCAGTCCTCTAAAAATAAATATTAATCTGTTAAATGTATGTGTATAAAGGAGGGGGGAGCTTAATGCTACTTGATGCCAAACAAGCTGCTCAAATTTTGCCTTAAGTCTTAGTAGTAAAAGGACAATATTGAAGTTCAGAGCATTTTATTTAATAAAAATAAATAAAAAGCTAGTACTTAACATTTACTTCTGTGATATATGTTGTCTTAAAGCTAGCACTTGCTGGAAAAGGCCTGTACTGCACTTGTCCTTCAAACTTTATTGCTATAACTAAAATGACTCATATGCTGTAATACTTTCTTTGTGATCTGAGCAATGCATTACGGGGAAGAAATAACTATCATCAAGGTTTTGTGTGTTGTTGGGGTTTTTTTTAAGCACTGCCATTGGGGGGAAAAAAAACCTGCTAATGGATTTTTCTACACTTTTGATTAAACTGTTGTAATGTTTCTGTCATGAAGATAATGTATTTATATTAAAGGAGAGATGTTGGACATCTTATTTGTACATAAGTTATCAAAGTTTCTATAGAAGAGACATATATGTGGAATTGAACAGGGGAACACTTTCAATGTAGAATAAATTCCATTATTGTGTGTTTTCTGCACTATGAGATTGGAAATGTATTTAATATTTTTACTCCAGGCTTCCGTTTATACCTCCAAGTTTTTACACTGAATGCAAGCTAGAAGCTTTACAGGTCTTATAAAAAAAAAAAAAATGCTGTTATTTCTCTAGTGGGCTATTTAGAGACTTTCAATAAAATATACTTTGACATATTAGTCGTGACCTAAGAATGTATGTTTAAGCTCTCCTTGCAAAATGCTGTTCTGTATCAGTGTGGACASAGGCTGGGCTGACAGGGGCGATTTGAGTTCTCCAGAGGATATTGAAAGGCTCTTTGTGGGATCTTTAGTGCAGAAGTCTGGAATGGATGTGCTAGTGTGGAGGTGCTGTCAGTGCAGGAGCAGCCACTGTTAATACCACATAACAGGAGGCTGCCCTTCCTTTAGGTGGTCTAAAAGTGCCTGCTAAATGTCCCTTTGGGGAGGGTTTCTGAAACAGGGCCTCTTTCAGTCTTGGCTTTCAATGTATCTGTCTCATTACGTGGCTCCTCCATTGGAGAGGAAGGTGTGTATTCTTACTATATTAAACTATGCAACTTCTTGAAACTCTTTGCTGCCCCTGAATATTTCTCAAAACGAACATATAGAGCATGAGCTCTGGGGTGGGCACAAACCATGGAGTGTGAGGGGGAGAAATATCCAACATTTTGCTGTAGATAAACTACAGGTTTTACATAAAACAGCATTAATGCAGTCACACATTCGAGGGCTCTGTAAAGGCAGGATGYTTTGAAGGGCCTCTGCAGGACCGAGGCTTAGGCCGAAGCTCCTCCTGCGGCCTGGCCGGCGGCCGCCCCGGTGGTGGCCATGGAGGCGCTGGAGCTGGGACCAGGCCAGCTCTACAGACCTCTGTAGAGCTTTCCTGTGTTCATGCTCAGAATGAAGCTCTTGYAAGCGGCAGCAAGTGACCTTCAGCTGTCTCACTGTGTGTTACTTCTCGGTCACAAGAGATTCCCGCTGTTCTGGTGTTTGGCAGGAAGCTTCACGTGCAGTCCTAACTGCCTGGTATTCACTTGAGAAGAGCTAAGTTTTAGATAAGTTTTAATCTAAAAATTAGACAGAATGGACTTAATTTTCTGGGCTAGTGAGGAGGTGGGCAACTATTTTTAGTCTTAAAATTGCATCTACAGAACTGTATGATGTCCTAGGATTAACTTAGCGGTGGGAGGGAGGCAAAACCCACAGCCCTTCACATGGTCTCGAGTTCCTTACCTTGGTTCTTCACTCAAATGTTTGCATTTTTGGGTTTTTTTTGGGGGGTTTGGGTTCCCTTTGGGGCTGAGGTATTTTCAGCAAAGCCTGACGACAYGCAGGCCTCCAGCTGGTCAGTGTTTGCAGAACTCTCCCCTCCTGGGTGAGCAGAATCCTTTCGGGAAAGGAGTGAATTTGGAAGATGATGATGGCTCTTGTTTGAGCTGGAGAACCAACTTGTGCAGGGCACCTACCACCTGAGCACAGAGGGAGTGAAAATGGGCTAGTTCGAGCTGCATTAAGAGACTACAGCGGAGATGACAAATAGCTCTAAGTCCCAAAGAGGAATGGGATTTCATAAGGACTTGTGAGAGCAGCAGCTTTCTTGTTAGGAGCCCGGAAAGGGATGAAYTGAGGATTGCCAACTTTTTGGCAAGTGATTCTACAGGCAACTGATGCTTGATTTTGGACTGTCATGAGGACAGCAATGTCCTCATGTGGAAACCCAGCAGAACATACTAGATTGCAATATGCTACTTCATGCCCAATGGCTATGTTACCAACTGGTAGATTTAGTTTATCGGTTTATTCCTTGCAGCAACTTAGTAAAATGAACTATTTCCCTTTTGTGCCTGGCTGCTTAAGGCAGGTAGATAACCTTTATTCAGGAAGTGTATTTACTAAATCATTTTATGAATTTATGCAAAACTACAGCTTCCTGTAGTTTTTCCTCTTCTGGCCATATCTCAACTCCCTGAATGTCTGTCTGTCTTCTGGTGTTTCCTACGCTTGCTCATACTGAAACACCTTCAGCTCTCCATCTCTGCTCTGTTCTCAAGCTACTTGCTCTATTAGTACTTGATAGTTTTGCCACTGTTCCTGGACAAGCCAAACTTAGTATCCCTGCTCCTGTGGAGTGAAATAAATAGATGTGGCCTGGCCATATATTCTCCAGGTAGCTTGTTGGAAATCAATAACATTTGAAACTTGTTTCTGTTAAATACAGTCAAAATTAGCTCTTTGTTTCCAGAGCTTTGGTGCAGGTGGGTGGAGAGGAAGCTGATTAGCTAAACCACGTGGCTGTGAAGGAAATGAGGAGAGGAAAGGAAACTAAGACACCTGTATTTGCAACTTGGGCAGGATTCAAGTTTTCAAGCCAAAAGCAAGGTAACTCTCAGATAGGAAAATCAGACCATTTGGAGTCAGATTGGCTACTCTGGTTTTCACTTAATGCAACATTTTGTTTTTTATTTGATTAATGGCTATTCTTGTGTTCTGGAATATACTTTCTATTTATTTCTGTATTGTATGGAGCCAATCATCAGGCCTGGGCACCTTTGAGTCTCTTTCGAGTGGCATTTTTATGACTTCTGAATGGTCATTCTAATCCTGTATTAATCTGTTTGCATAAAAAAAATAAATTAACAATAGCTAACACAGCTAAAATTAATATAGAGTTTTGCTAATTATGAACATCAGTCTTGAAGTATCTCATAAATATTACCAAACCTTGAAATGTCCGAGAGCCTTGTGGCCTAGCTGTCTAGCTAACTTTGGAGTAAGCAGGATGGCTTTTCTCTCTGTTTCTGCAGGCATTCTTTTGAAGAATGTTTATTTATGAATGTGATGACAGAGAAGAACAGTTTAGGCAGAGATTATAAATGCTCATTGCTTCATATTTTGAGGATGATGCAAGAAAAAAAGCTTCACTTTCGCTGTGACCCACATTGACAAATCAAAACAGAGTGCTTCCCACCAAGCTCCTTAAGTCCTCTACATTAATAAATCCAGCTTATTTCCTAGAGGCCACTTCTGTGTTTTCCCAGTCCAAGCCTTCCACTGTGGATTCACTTTTCAGGAATCTTAAGAAATCTTTCTTGACCTGTTTTTCTTAAGTCTTTTCTAAGACCTAAGTCTGGGAAAGACTAGTTTTATACCTGCTGTCAGTTGCTTCATTTCTCACCATCCTTCCTGTTGCGACCTCGGGAGAACACAGGAATATCTATAAGCCAGATAAGATATTCTATAGATAACTACACACTTAACGATTAACGTGCAGCCTTTCCAAAGTACAAGGTCCCTCGCTTCCTCTTCCACCTGCTTTTGCTTTTTGCACCTGCTCTGATGCAACAGAGGACTCCTGCAAATGATCACACTCCTTTCCCGGGTTAATGTCATGTAGCCACCAGCTGATTTTATAGAAAGTTTTGCTTTTGTGCCTTACTTTTCTATCAAGATGAACTTGATCTAAATCATTTTCCGGCAGTGCAAAGGAAACGACAGGACCATACTGTTGGAAAAACTTCCTATCAATAAGTAGCCCRTGGTTAAATCAGATTTTGTGCTCACTGCTGATCTGCTGCCCTGAAAAAGAACCAAATCCTGGGAGCTACCTCAAATGTGCCTGCTAATTGAAATGTTGAATAATATACATAACTTTAACTAGATGTATAACACTTACGAGAAAAAAATAGAACTAACTTTGGCTGGAGGTCACCTGTAAAGTCCTTGCAAGGTGACTAAAGAATAATTGTATTGGATCTGACTTCTTTGTTATAGTAAGAAGATAAGGTCAGCAAAAACAGCTCGGGAATACATGGCCGTGAAATCCATTTTGATGCTTTCTAGTCCCATTGTTCCTCTGGCCATAGCTTGGATGGTGAGAGTTTCGTAAACACCGTTGTGCGGCCTGGGCCGTGATTAGCCGTGTGCCACCTGCAAAGCAAACACCGTGGCTGGCGTTTTAACTTGGCATCTGGAAGCAATCACTGCTCAGAAAGTAAATTTGTATTCCTCATATATTCCTCCTTTTCTCTTCTTGGCTTCAGCCATACGCAGCTAAGCTGTCTGATTACTCAATTTGTCCCTTTCCTACTCATTTTTGCTTTACTTTAATATGGAGTGCTGGGTTTTATCTGCGTGCAGCCTGTCTCAGGTGTAGGATGAGCTCTCTATTCTGCCAGAGAGACCTTAATTTTCAGGGGATATTCATCTGCCTAACACTGCTCTGGAGGCAGCGGCCCTCTCTGTGATTCAAATGGCAGCTGAGTAGATACCTGGCAGAGATGCTACCGAAAGGGCTAGTGACCAAAATGAAGTGCCTTAATAGAGAAACCATTACTTAATATCTCGATATTAAGTAGAGGCCTGTGA